TGTAAACGCCAGATTTTCGTTCAGTTCATCTGCACAGATCTGGCTTGCGCAAGCCAAATCGTTCAGATGGCTTGAACGTGTAAACGGGCTTTAACTCAGTATTTTTGAGGGGCCTTTCTCATTAAGGCAACTTAAATACTTCAGCTAAATACGCCAGAGAATAAACAGAAACGAAATGTTTAGAGTAAATCATAAGTAAGTGCTTTTTAAATAAATTCTGACGGACCAATTTGAAAACAATTTATTTTTATGTAATTTACTGACTGCGTGTAATTGTTGTAATATTTTTGTGAAATGTGAAATAAGAATGTTCATATCGTTTATTTCATATTAAGTTTTGGCAAGGCAACACCGCCATTATCAGATTTAAAATTCAAAACAAACTATAAACATCAATTGACGATTAAAATATGTTTAAAAATTGTAAAAAACTATAATTTACAAAGCATTAAAACATCCGTTAGTTCTTAAGGAAAAAAAATTCTTTGGGAGTGCAAATCATTTGGGAGAGCAAAATATCACATTTGTTTGTTGTAAAAAGAATATAATGTTTCCCAATTATCGGGAAGTTTTTTCAAATGTTTYGGTCTCARAGAATTTTTTTTCTTAAGAACTAATGTATGTTKCAATGCTTTGTAAATTATACTTTTTGAACAACACATTTTATTTGTAAATTGATGTTTGTAGTTTGGTTTGAATTTTAAATCTGATGATGGCGCTGTTGTCTCGCCGAAACGTAATATGAAATAAACGATATGAACATTTTTATTTCACACTTTGACTGAAACCGCGGAAAGAAAAAATATGTATTGTAAACAATGAATGTAGAAAGACAACTAATAATTAAAAAATTTTTATGAAAAATTTTCATTTTGAAAATTCAAATAAAAGTACCGTGTGTGTTCGAAATACCATTCTACACCAAAGAAAACACAAACTTGGCCATCCGAAGATTGTTTTACGTGGCTTGTTTGCGACCTTTTTGAAAACAATTATGAAACAAGCTATAAACCGAGAAGTCGCACAACTCGTATGTAAACATCTAAAAGTGTCCGGTTTGCGCTGTATATAGTATTCTATTTCAGGGTTATTCAGATGATACGACACGGAAGATTGCCGTTAAACTATTTGTCTTCAGAGATGATCAAATATGGATTCTAATAAAATTTTCCTTACCGGGGGCACCTAGATAAATAATGATTTTGCAGTTATGTCAATTGCCGTTTTCAACCCAAAGCTGTTTTTTTTTAATTGAATTGCATGTGTGTTATTACGCTGCAATAATAAATGCTGTTAAAATAAATGTGAGTTATATTAATGTATACCTGGTGATTTAAAATTTGCGTTATACCTCAGGAGGTGTTGTCTGGCGGTGTTTTACAAGTACAGAAAAAATATTTAAAAACATTTATTCTTATTAAAAACTGTGAAAGTTGCAAAAAACTATATCAGAAAGACGGCAACAATGTTTTTCAAGGTAATCTGCCTAATTGGCATTACGTAAATACCTGTTCATTCGTATTAATTAAAAACTCCGATAACCAGGAAATTATACAGAAAGTAATAGTAATAGATAAGGGTAAACGGTAAATTCAACAGCCTCCGTTGAATGTCGAACGAACTTTATCGAAATGTGAATTATTTTCCTCATAACCTGGAGTTGATGTTTACAAATAAACATACATTTGAGTCTTACTCCGAACAAGTTTGTGACGATAAGTGTGTATTAACCTTATTATCCACGCTTCTCGAGCAGCTTCTTGTATACAGTTAATTTAACTAAAACCAAAAGAGAATTAAAACACCTGGAAAGGGCCTTTGGTTGGAACGGATACAGTAAGAAAGATTTCGGCACCACAAAACGAAGCATAAACACTAGGATCACGGAGCCCAAACAAAGTTGCAGATTGGGACAAACAGAAAAATCAGCAGTAGCGGAGCACGCACTGCTAGACGGCCACCAAATACGCTTCGACGAAGTTGACATTCTGC